CAAAGCATTGTCATGACCATCATTATTATCATCACTGCTCTTCTTGCAGAAGCTTTGGCTGGTTTATTTTTGCCTTTCAGGGGACTTCCGGCACAAAGTCAAGAGGCTATACAAGGGAAGATGTAGAGAAGTGCTTTAAGGTCTCAGGTTATGTCTCTGCCCGCTTCACAAATCCCAGGTTACAATATTCCCCACTATTAACGAAATGAAGGCCAGTCTGATTCAGTGTATAAGGCGGCTTTTGGTTGTGGATTATGTTTAGGGATGCAATAGACTTTCTTTCGTGTACAGTATTCTTGTTGTTGCCAAATAATTTGTGTCTTTATTTTGAAGATTAATGTCCTGTCTTTCCATCAGATGGTCTCTGTAACAGGCAGCCCTGACCCCACCTGTCCGTCACAGCTGGGCAGTGGATCATCAGCCAAGGGGGTGACGGAGGGTGGGGCTGAGGAGGGAGGAGCTGGAAGAAAAAGGGGTGAGAAGAGAGTGTGAGAGGTCAGATCAGGAGGGTGTCAGAGAGAAAGAGCGTGTTTAGAGGCCTGTGTGCCGAAGTGTTCAGTGAGGGAAAGACTGTGATTGATTAAATAGGAAACAGTGATTGACATCGTGATTAGCTAACTGTGATTTACATATTTTATTTTGTTATTTCAATAAACCTGTTTTGTTTTGAAGGAAACCTTTGTCCTTCTTAAATAGTCATTACAATTGGTGGCAGCGAGTGTGAAGTGGTGTGGTGGGCAATCTGAGAGGCCTGAGCTGGCGGTGACATCAGAGTGGCCTGCCACGTCACAGTCTCCAAAATACCTTATAATATAATAGAAAAATAAACAAATAAAATGCAAAGCAACACAGAACAATTGACCATCAGCAGCAGGATAGCATTTGCATAAGAAGGAGTACAGTTATATTCTGTTAAGGGCTATGGCAAGTCAAAGAGCTTTTAGCTGGTGCCTGAAAAGAAGTAAAGTGATTTCCATACAAACATGCCTGGAAATTATGTCCCTAAAGTGGGGCAGTACAGCAGCAAAAGACCTGCCTCTGCTAGATCAATGGTTCTTGACCTTTTTGAAAGAAACGCCCCCTTGAGCCTTTGAGGAAGTTATCATCGCCCCCCTCCCCGCGGTGATGATATCTTTTTATTATTTATTTATTTAGTTACTGTATTTAGTTATTTAGTTATTTAGTTATTTAGTTATTTGTTTGTTTATTTATTTATTTAAGACACTTAAATCCAATGACCCCTGAAAACAAAATTCA